TCACCAATGCCAGAAGTCGTTTTTCTAATGCAAATACGCAACCAAGATTTAAATGGTAATGATCAAGTCAGACTGTCTTTCCCCAATAGAATTATAAATCTGATCCAATATTTAAACATCGACACATTTTCCATCCTACGCTTGGATGATTAAAAAAAATGAAAATTCGAGTCATGAAAAAAAATAAAAAACCCAAAAACTGCAAAATAATCACAATAAATGCATATAAAAAAGCCTTTCGAAAGGTCTACATATGAATAGACCATATTAAAATAGAATTTTAAATTACATGTCAAAACTGAAATATCCAGTGATTTTTAAAGTCATGTCACTTCATTAACTACTTTTCTTTATTATTTGTGATTTGTCATAAATTCTTGGGAATAATGTAGAATTATTTCTCTTTGCATGCGCCATGATGGCATATCAACGTCAGTGGGTCATTTAATCCCAACAATATTTTGAAATAGATTCATAGCGATAGTTTGATTTGGTTTGTGTTGTTTTGTTTTATGGCATATCAACGTCAGTGGGTCATTTAATCACAACAAAATCTTGAAATAGATTCATAGCGATACTTTGATTTGGTTTGTGTTGTTTTGTTTTATGGCATTTCAACGTCAGTGCGTCATTTAATACCGAGAATTTTTTTCTTGCTAGTAATACTTTTTCCTTCATAAATCTATTTTTGGTGGTATTTTTTTCGTCAAAATATTTTTTTATAAAAACGTATTTCTGGAATTAAAATCTATTTTTACACTTTCATAATATTTTGACCACAGTTTGGAGGTTAACTATTTGCCCATAGCTGGGACCCTAACAGGTGCTACCACCCCGGATCAGGGTGGACCTGGGAACACCAGCAATTAAGAGGTGGTTTCACGCTCCTGAAAACCTCCTGATCAGAGGCCTTGCTGCTGGACGTAGTTTATTGTCTTACCCAGGACGCGGACGTAGTTTATCGTCTTACCCAGGACGCGGATGTAGTTTATCGTCATACCCAGGACTGGCCCAATCTGGAGTGCCTGGTTTACTAGCTGAGGGAATAAGAAACGGATACATGGTTTTCACGAAGGCATTTGTGTAGAAAAAAACGGAATTTGAACTCACTTCAATGGTTCTATTTTTTCGCGCCAAGACCCGTTAGACTATAAGTACCTCCTTTGATATGCCAGTGAAAAAATTCTAAATTTTCTCGAAATGTACTCGAAAGCTGCTAAGTCGACCCGCGTACCACACACAAGCCCACGTTTATGGATGTAATGATGGCTTTCATTATTTTTTTTATTTTAATTTCGGGTAAATTTTTCTTCTGTTTCCAAATTTTTAGCCACTTATCAGGATTTGTTACTGATAAATTTGATAGCAGAAATCATGTACAAAAACAAAAGAGGCGTTGGACTTGGTTTCGTATGACTTCTGCTTTCCTCTCGACGAAAAGCGGGAAAAATAGTTTAACAATATCAGGAAAAATGGATAGTTATACAGAGTGTAGTACAAAAACAACCCAGAAATACTTCCCAACATAATCGAAATGTGGTCTTTGCCTAGCTGATATCTTACCATTATGAAGAAGATATTTCTGTGAGACATATATGCGAAGAATTTTTGCTGCACCCCGTATAAATAAACGAGAAGCTATAAACAACATTACAATAGATTTAGAAAGATAATTCACTCCGGCCTTTATATATATATATATATATATATATGTTTCGTAAATCTTATATATATAGATATAAACACACACATATATATATATGTATGTCGTATTTACTCGCGTATGATACGACCATTGAATACTCAATTTTGAAGCTAATTTGATTAGAGTAAATGCATAGTTTAAATGAAGATCTGTACACGTCGAATGATACGCAAATATATGCAGTGTATATATATATATATGTTAAGAAATGGACGAGGTCCGACAATTTATTTATTAAAAGACATTTTTATTTATGTTTAACGTTGTTATTTTATAGATACAAGTATTTAAGCAAATGCTCTGTTTATGATAAACAGTATTAAATAACATTTACCGGCCTGAATGTCCGAGAAATTTTCATAGAAAATATTCGTTCATAGACAGGATTCGAACCTGCATCCTATACGGAACCGTCATATACGCTGACGTGCCTTAACCACTGGCCACCATGAACCTTATGGTAGACAAGGTCGAATTTACTGTTATAAACTACAATCTTCCATGAATCTCGTACATTCATAACTGCTCTGGCGTATCGAATGTAAACAAATGACGTCATATGTTAAGAAATGGACGAGGTCCGATATTTATTAAAGACATTTTTATTTAACGTTGTTATTTTAATACAAGTATTTAAGCAAATGTATAACATTTACCAGCCCTGAATGTCAGAAAATATTCGTTCATAGACAGGATTCAAAATTTCTCGACATTCAGGCTACCATAAGGTTCATATAGTGGTTATCATTATATGACGGTTCCGTATAGGATGCAGGTTCGAATCCTGTCTATGAA